TTACAGACACTCTACCAATAACAGATAAAACACAATACTGAGTCACTCTATGACTAAAAGAAGACCAATTCCTGATGCATATTTTCTTGGAAGTGATGCTTTTTTTTGGTTAAAAAAATTAATATTTTCCATCGCAGACACCCTCCTCCAACTAAAAAAGCAATTTTCCCGAACTGGCCTGACAATGAAGTTGAGTGTCTTCTGCCCTGTTGTTCTCCGTTCTGTTCCATCCTAACTTAAGACATTAAGATATAAGGAGAAAATATCTCGCCTTTAATGACCAGAGCACCGATCCATCCATCCATCCATCCATCCATCCATCCATCACCTCCTTTCACCCCCACTCCCACCCTGCACACCCAGTCTGGATTCCTCCACCACCCAGTGCCCATGTCAGTGAGGCTCCTGGCCCCCTCTGCCAGTGCAGAAATGAATTATATTGCTTTTCACACCTGTTTCTGCTCAAAACCCTGCTGCACGCTGCTGTGTTAAAAAAAAAAAAAAACATTTCCAAGGGGGGGTAACAGCGCTCCCCCAGCTCGGCTACATCTGCGTACACGAGCGGTTAAATTAGACTCTAATTGTATTAACGGGGGATTATGCCTTCCAGTTGGATTTTTTATACTCTCACTCTCTGTGCATTTTACACATTTTAAGGGGAGAAAGGAGGAGGGGGGGGGGAAAGCAGCTCATTGAGGGTTTGCGGGTTGGCTTCTTTTATGAGCTGCGATCACGGCTGCCCCTCGTTACACTGAGTCTGTGTACAAATAGGAGGGGAGGAGAGCCAGAATGAGAGTGTTAGTGATAATGTGTATGAGTGTGTGTGTCCCAGTCTGCCAGGCTAATATACCGATGCTAACACTCTGAATGCCAAACCCCCCATGCCCTTCCTTTCTACACACACACACACACACACCTACTTCAGTTTAGCAAGGCAACAATCTAAACGGGGATACGGATGGTGTGTGTAGTGTGGAGGCGGGGGTGAATTCCATCTAATTACTCTATCACATAATTTCACAAATTGCCTTTTCATAGGGGAGTGGAGAGCAGAGCACAGGGCGCGTTGGGGATTTGAGGCCTGAGCTTTCATTTACTACTCATTTCTTGTTAAATTAAACAAGAAAATACCATTTGTGGGGAAGGAGGGGCTTGGGGTTGGGGGGGGTGGGGTTCCAACTGCACAATAGGAGGGATGGAGAAAACAGAGATTGGGTACTTCTTACTCTCAAGGTTTGTCTCGTTGATTTTAACACAAAGTGGCGAGGTAGCTCAGACAGTTTATATTTGATCGTGTAGATATTAGAACAATACCTACAGTGGTGTTATGAAGGTGAGTTTGTCAGTTGGACAAAAGCATATTTGCAAATGTCCCATTCAGTTAGTCAGTAAAACCAAATGACTGCTAGTAGTCACAACATATGTTTAATTAAGGATGTTGATGGAAAACAAACATCAAAATGAGATGAGGACACAAGTGGAAAAGCCCTCCCCTCTCCTTTAATTTGGGTCCCCACCAAATTTACAGCTGCATGTCAAGCTGGCAGCAAGCTGCTTGGTTTCGGCATCGGTGACAGGCGGTAAACGCTAATGTTTTGTAGTAGCTCCAAGTCGGAGCAGCCAAATTCTTCCGATGAACTTGTCCCACAAGTGCTGTCGACAACATATGAGCTCACTGGGCGTGTTGGAGAAAACTTAGCGAGCTGCGACTGTCGTCATCGTCCCAAATTCAATACCACTGCTCTATCAGTCAGTCTACTGATCACATGAGAGCTTTGACCCTGGCACCGCCAATACCAGCAATCTGGGGAGTCACAACTGTTGGTGTCTATGCTAATAACAAACATGGCACTCTCAGCTTTCTCTTTTACTGCTTGAACAAGACAGTGTAAATTAGCATCCTTGATGGATAAGTGAGCAGAGATGCAGAAATGTCTTCAAAACAGCCCTTCAAAAAAAACAGCCATATGAATGCCACCTACCACCTACCCTGCTAGTGCACTCGCAGCCTCAGTTTGCCACCCACCTTCCCCTTCCGCTTCGGTACAATGGGAGCTCCCCTGAGGGTCCAAGTGTGAGGGCGAATAACAGAAAATACACCAAGGTGGGTATCCAAACTTCTACCCTATTCTATTGCACTGTATTCTGTTCTGTGCTGTCAAATTCCTGCATATTTATTATAGCAGAGAAATAACTGACTCCCTTCGTCAGGTTTGTGTAGGGCCACAGCACTCTTCCATGAGTCTGTGTGTGTGCATGCATGCATCTGTGTGTGCCTAATTGGCATTGTGTCTATCTCTAAGAGGCCAGACTCACATCTTCCATCCCTCTTTGAAACAAAGGCAGGCCAGATGATGATGCTGTGGATGAGCCTGGATCAGCTGTCCATGTTTATGAGAGACATACTGCCAGTGTAAGAGATACTGTAAATGTTTTTCCATTAGAGGTGCTATGTGTAGCATTTATAAACACTGACATATGCTGATTAAATTAATGGTGACACTGAAGAATGATTAGTGTTAACAAATGAGACCACTGCAAGCATTTATCTGACACCAGTGGTATTGTTATTGCCAGTGTTTTTCAAAATTAAGACCACATTTCCCATAAACAAAGAAGATGCCGCTCCTCTCTGCCCGGGTTTCATTTCTTTTTGGCTTTAGTGAAGAGGGCAAACATATTGGAAGTGATTTTTCCATCAACCTTTCAGTTTATTCACAGTTCTGGAAGCGTTAGCTGTGTTTTGTTGAAGAACAGCAGCTTCTTTTCGGTTTTGTACCATCAAGCAATACCCTATATGCCATTGTGTGCCTGCATGTGTGCATGTTTTAGTTCCCCTTTCTGTTTTGCCTAGGAGATGGAAACGGTTGATGGATTCTCCTTATCCCCCTCTTTACCTCCTCGCCTTCTCCTCTTCTTCTTCTTCTCTTCTCCCTTGCTCCCTTGACACTCACTTATATCCTTCCCACTGTTTGAGATCTAACAGAGCAGAAGCCTCCCATAAGCCCAACTCATGGTGTAATATGACACAGTAGGTGTGTTGCTGTGTATGCGTTTTACTGTGCTGAACTGTATTTCCACAGACAGGATGTGTGTATGTTTCAAACACCTTTCCTCTGTAGCCCCGAAGGTTTCAGGGGGGTATGGGCTGAGGTCAGGGAGTTGGGGAAGAGGTTAGTGTGTACGTGTGATGATGTGTGGTTGTGTGCAGGGTGATGGAGAGTTGGTGGGTTGTGAAGGAGGTGGTGAGGGTCAGATGGAAAAAGAAGAGCACAAAAAGAAACAAAAAGTATAAGAAGCCTTGTGATATATGTGTGTGTATATATTCTGTGTACAAGCTATACACTATATATCTTTGCCTACATGCTACACTACAGTGTATGCAATGAAAGAAGTTCCTCTGGTTTGCCATTAACACTGTTGGAAAGAAGACACTGCACAATGCATATGGTATGGATTGTGCAGTCAACATCAAAATCAGACTACAAATTAAAAAAAAAAGTGCCCATGCAATATCCATAATCCAACAACAAAATTACTTTCCCCAGCATCCTCCCTCTTGGCTTGTGCAATTCAAACCAACACCCACTCATCCAAACTGTATCGTGTTTTCCACAAACTCCTGACAGAGGCAGAATGTGTGTGACGCAAGGGTGGCTGAAGTTAGTTTTGAAACACATTTCCTTAACGTAGCTCTAAATTCAAAATGTAATCAGAAAATTGACAGTAAATCTTTCACTATTTCCAGATTTTAAAACAATGGCTTCACATGTGAACCTGAACGTGTCTTGTTTAAAATCAAATCAGAGATGTGAGTGGTGATTCAGAGGTCTGAAACCTGGTCTAGTTTGAAACAAGTCAGGCACTTTTCAAGTGTCTGGAATATGTTTTTCATGCTATTCCAACCCAATTTCACTAACAAAAAGCAGTTACTTCAGCTATTTCTAAATGATTCACCTCTAAGTGGTTAAAGAGTAGATTTTATGTACCTTTGAAGCTTTAATTTCAATAGTGTTAGCATCCTTGACGATAATAAACCAGAGAAGGGACCAATAAAACACAACATTATTGTTATTGTTACATGCTATACATGTTAGCACAGAACATGCAACAAGACTTTGAGCAAGAGGGTTGAGCATGCGTACATGGGCAGTTAGTGTCTGCATATTACTAACAGGTCACTTTCTCAGATGATTTCACAGTGTTATACCAACATTCAGCTGTAACAGGACACAAGTGACTCTGTGATGGACCCACTGGAGCAAATATGTCCTATAAATTACTGTATACTTTTTTATTTCAGTATACTAGCTGTGGTTGGTGAACTGACAGTGTTTGAAATGATAGAAACTTGTGTTAAATAAGACAGCACTCAATTTACTGTTGGCTCATTTGTATCTTCCAGTGTCACAATACATTTTTTCCCACACTATTTCCCCCCCTAACAATTTGTGATGCTGTCAGCTGGTATTCCCTGCTATAATTGAGTAAAATAAAGCCAAACCACAGGCTTTTGCAGCATCCCAGGCATCTGTTAAATAATGACAGATTTGTTCTTAATAAGGTTCATCTATGTATCTGCAGTTATGGCCAGGGGCGTCTCTCCTTGGCTTCAACCTTATTCAGTTTCAGCAGATGAGGAGTGAGAGCGCGGGCTGCCGAGATCGCCGGCAGATTACACGGGCCTATGTCTTTGAAGTGTTCGCCGTACCAACCGGGATACAATGTAGAGAAGAGGAGAAGAGGGGGGCTCTGGTGGTGTGTGTGTGTGTGTGTGTGTGTGTGTGTCAGAGTGTATCAGTGCCCCAAGAGTGTGTGTGTGTATAAGTGTTCCTTTGTGTGTATCTGTGTCAAATAAGACAGGAGCAAAGCTGTAAAGACAGAAAATGTGTATGTGTGTGTGTATAAAGGTAAGAAAGCCTGTGGGTGTGAAGTTCAGCATGCACACTTGATATGAAACTGAGAGCGACACAGAACAAATGCTGTTTCATTCAACTCACTGTTAGGTGCTGGAAGAGCCATGCTCTCATGATGTTGGTGGCCACCTTAGGGAAGATCCCTCTCTTCTTGTTACGTTTCTTTTCTTTATCCGGGTCATCATCATCCCCTGTGCTCGGTGAAGCCACGCTGTTGTCCAGACCATCACCTGTCACATGACAAGAAACAGGAAGAGACAGCGGAGATCAGACACACAGTTTGTTTACTTCCTGCATTTGCTGCGCCTCTGCGTTCAAAGGGAATAAATACGATTTCGAAGGAATTCTGGAGGGCTTTGTATGCACAGACGGAGGGGTATAGAGACACAACAATGGCAAGCAGAGAATGGCTGGAAAACAGCACCTCATAAATGCATTCATTTTTAATACATTTATAAATAACCCTGCCTTTCATTTTTCTCCCCCCCCGTCACTTGAAAACACAGCAAGCGCTCGCATCTTTCTGTGAGAAAGAGAGGGAGAACGGGAGCACAAAGGACTTGTAAGGTCGCATTTCCCCACTCTCCCATCCAAGCTTGCGCAGAATTGAAAATGACAGAGAGATTTAGTCTTTATTATCCTGAGGGGAAAATAGTTATTGAAGCGTCGCCCCGGCGCATTCTGCCATTTTACCTGAGGTGGAAAGAGTAACACAGCACTACAAAAGGGGAGGTTGCAAGGAGGGGGAAGGAAGAAAATAAAAGGAAAATAGGTGGAAAAAAGGAAGTCAGAGGCACAAACAGCGCTAACAAAGCTAGCTGCTTTTCATAACAATGGCGTCATGGCTGCTTACAGCAACCTGTAGGGCTTCGATAAGGCTCTATTAAGGCCAGTTAACCTCACCTAAGGGAAACACTGAGACAGCTTAGAGTATCTGAGCACTGAGAGGGAAAGTGAAAGGAAGGTACTCCACGGGCCTTTTCTCTGCATTCAGACTAAACAACATGAACTCATACACACACACACACACACACACACACACACACACACACACACACACACACACACTGCACATATTCAAAACTACCCAATTACTGTACGTATTCTATACAGCTCCAGTGGAAAGAAAGAGGCTCTTCCCATCTGTGGCTATGAAAAGCCTAATTGTTATTATCATTATTCAAAAATGTGAGCCACCCTCAATGAAGACGATAATCATAAAAGAAACATGAGGCGAGGTAAACAAGTGGCACCCTCACTGCTTGAAATCTCAGCAGCTGATAACTGACTTTTGTCCCTTACCGCCTCTCTCGACTGGAAGTGAGGGGAAGGAAAGAAGAAAAAAAACAAAAAACGCTGAAGCAGTGCACAGAATTGGAACCAGTTATTTATTGATTACACACAAAGCACTTCTAAAGCTTCTAGGTCTATTCACTGTGGCGGGAGTAGATAACTGCATTCGAGCGGGCCTGCACTCCGCTAACTTGCAGAGGGCGACACCCAGCACCTAGCTAAACCCTAAGCCCCCGATTCATCGATAATTAATGGGGATGTTGGCGCTAATCCGGTTGGAGATGACTTTTTTCCAGCCTGCCACATCAATGGAATAATCAAGGGCCTAAAACCCAGGCCTTTGCTCCCCATTACCTCAGGCAAAAGAATTCCTGAAAGCATGCCTGGAGGGCACCTGAATTATATACACCATTAGGAGAGAGAGGCTCTCAATGATCCATACGAAACAACACTCTTGGCTAACTCTCACTCTCTCTCTCTCTCTCTCTCTCTCTCTCTCTCTCTCTCTCTCTCTCTCTCTCTCTCTCCGACTGCTCTGGCAGAAGGAGATACATATGCACACATATTGAAGGCTTTCTAATGAACCTTGTGTTGGAGTGGCGGTGACGCTATCGGAGGGTGGGGGAGGGATAAAACAAGAGCTTGCTTTTCATAGATACTGATGCCAACGCCACCCACTGCACATTAATAATGCACATATGCATGTAAAGCTGGTCGTAAGGTTGGGCTACTGTAACACCACGAATAGGTCAAAAGCTGGATTTAGGCAATGGGCACATGGCAGGTTGAAGTGCCTTTGAGCAAGCCAACCCCTGTAAGTTTAAGTGACTTGATATGTACAGTACATGCAGACACACTTTCAATCTTCTACATTTAACTATGCACTCATATAGTCCTGCAGCCAAGCTTTATTTTTATTAGCAATTTGTTCATGAAGAAGGATACATGTAAATGCATTGATCAGCCTTTTTAGATAGCAGACTATTTTGAAAAATACCCATCACAAAGTCTGACTTGGTCTTTTCTTTTCACAAAATCCAAACATCCAACAGTTTACAAGGATGGGAAACAAAGAAAACAGCAAATTCTTACATCTGAGAGCAGGAACTAGTGAATCTGATATCTATCTATATTTTCTTTTTACAATTAACTTATTATTGTTGTTGACTTACTAATCTATCTAATGATTAATCGACTAACCGTTTCAGCACAACACTCTAACAAACCCACACACACACACACACACACACACACACACACACACACACACACATTCAGACAATGTACCCCTTACGCCCAAGCTCCTAGACCTCTCTCTGTATAAAAACACACTCAAGTTGCAAGCTTCAGTTACATCATTAGTCCAGGACAAATGCAGCCTGAGCTTAACAAGTGAGTTTTTTCTGCCTACTGTTTCAGGGCTAAAATACACCCACCCCTCTGTCTCTCTCTTGCTCTTTTCCTCTCTACGTCTCTCTGCCTGGTGGAAAAGAGGGGTGAGCCGAGTCCCTGTAATCTAAGACCAGATTTTCATTGGAAGCAAATGCTTTCAATCCGTTGTAAAGACCGGCTCATGTTCAGCAAAGCCTACAATAACAAACCTAGGGGCTTGTCCCATGCGAGTTGGGAAAACAGAAGCAAACGGCCAGAGTACCAGCTCAGATCATGAGTGAGTGAGTGAGTAAGTGAGTGAGTGAGTAAGTTGAGTGAGGGAGTGAGTATGCATGCAAGTGAGCAAGTGAGAGAGAGCGGGCGAGCGGGCATTGGGAGAAAAGGGAAAGAGAGAAGGTGAAACAAAAGAGAGAAAACACAAAGGGGACAGAGAAAGCACAGAATGAGTAAAAAAAATAGTGAGAATGAGAAATTGTATGACTCTGGGTGTGTCGCTTCTTTTATAATTAGACTTCTTGTATCATGTAGTACTTCATTATATACTGCTGTATAAGTTAACCTTTATTTAACAGGGAATACCGAGTACAATGCTCTCTTTTTCAAGTGCTCTTTTCAGTCTGGTAATCCAACCGGTCACAAGCCTGCTCTCTAACCTTTAGGCTGCCACTGCTCCATATAGTGCAATATCATACTGCACTATATCAGCCATATTTTACAGTATTGCATCGTATCTATTGATATATGGTGAATAAAATGGTATGCAAGCAACCACTACAATCTTTAAGACTCTTAATGTTGACCCTACAGAATATAAAATAACCCCAAAGTCCTCTCGCTAATCAATATTTAATCACAGACTAAAATGGTGTATAATGTAAGAGTACTCCCTACCCATATCATATCTATTTCATGTCACTGAACCATGTCAAAAGAATGCAGAAACACTGGTAGTGTTCATGTCTAACATACACAAGATCTCCTCAAACTATATACACAAAATGAATGATCCCTCTTTTAGAGATTTTATGCAAAGTTTGACCATTTTTGTCACCAGTACTTCAAGCCCTGAACCACAGAGGGAAACCATAACTCCTCCCTATATTCCTTACTTTCCTCTCCCTTTTCCAATACTTCTAAGTAAGTCTGACCTATAGATACTTACTTTACCTAGAGGGGGAAAGGAAGGAGGAGGACTGGAGAAGGGCCGTCAATTTTATTGGCATTTCCATTTTCACTGCAATTTGATACCAATCACCCCTGCAAGGTCTGGGGCTAATTTCTGCTTTGCTTTAGCCCCAGCAAGTGAGGGAAGGGCGGGAGGTGGGAGGAGAGAAAAGAGAGAGACTGTATGAGTGAGGAAGGGTGAAGCAGGAAAGGTGTTGGAGCTGTGTCTGGCAGCCATGTTGGGGGAAATGTCAATGGTGTTACCTCAGCTTGTGAGAGAGAATAAGGGTAAAACAGGGAAAGAAAGCGAATGAGAGATTGTGAAGGAGGGTAACAAGAGATGGAGAGGAGGAATGATGGGGGAGTGAGAGTGGAAAAGAGAGAATGAAAAAACTCAAGCCACTGCAGGGATGGGCAATGAAGGAGGAGAAAATAATGGATAGGAAAGAGATGCTGTGTGGCACACTGGAGTTAATCAATTGAAAAAAAGGACAGTCAGTCAGGCCATGTCCACTGTAATGCAGATAATTCTTTCCTCTACTTTGGCCTTTGAAGCTGACATTTTCTAACACTGAAAACAGAGCTTTTTCAAGGTCTTCCAAAATGGACACATCTGAAAACATGCTATGTGTTAGGCCATCATCAATTGACCATTTTTTACGCTTGTCAATGGATGCCTGTAGCACACGCTGGATGTGTCATACAGACAGAAGAAGTAGCTGAAATGTAACAATTTGGGGAGTTAATATTACAAAATTGCTAATGATCTGTCATGACACCATTGGTGAGTGGGCGACATAAAAAAACAATGATTGCAGGGGTTTTGACGTGTGCATACACCACTGGTGTGTATTGCCCTTAAATCTGATGGCTCAAGTATCTTGGACAGACCAGATTTAAACATTTACTCTTTTGTGGTTTCAGTGTGGATCACTAGCAAGAAAACCTCAAGTAGTGACTTGGGCAGCGATTTCAAATGTATCTGCATATGTAGAAACTCAGTGATGTCACAGTAAGTTCATCATTCAGCCAATAAGCACTTTAGTTGGTCAGTCCACTTTGTTGTCCACTCAATGTGTACATTCTCAGTCAGCCAGTAAGCTAGTCAGTCTATAAAGCCACCTAGTCAGTCAGCCAGTCATAAAGTAACCTTCTCAGTCAGCCGGTTAGCCAGTCAGTCCATCAGCCATTCACTCAGTCAGTCAGAAAACTAGCCAGGCAGCTAGTAAACCAGCCAGTCAACAAACCAGTCAGTCACTCTCCATACACAGGCTGCCAGGCTCATTAAGAGCGTCAGCAGGCTGTTACCCAGGGCTGCATACATACAGCATGGGGCAGCAAGGCTAGCAGGCTCCAGTCTCCCTACGAGGAAAAGCCACAG